ATTATCATCATCATCATAGCCATCACTGTTTTTCCTATCAATGATGTATACTGAAGGCAAAAGTTATGTATTTACTCACAAAGGAAGACAATCTCTCAACAATTTACTACCTCTCGTAGTCTATATATTAATGTATCATATAATTTCTTATTATGATTATAATTGTTCATGTTTTCGAAATTATTCTGGTAATTGTATAACCATGTGAGGAACTAATGTACCAGATAACAATACATTAGCTGTTCTTGTTACTGATTTTCATTTAATATTAATTTGATAACTTTTATGTAAGGATTAAAATGGAAGAATTGTTTGATTAAATGTTTAATAAATAAGGTACATATAAAAATAGACATTAATTAACCAAAGAAGAAAAGTCCTTGGTATTTAGAGTCGAGAACTACATTTCAAATTGCTTAATAAATACTAAACAGAATGATTGGTACATTACATATATTTTTAGAATCTATGGCAATGTTTGGGTTAAATGCATTTCCAATTGTGTAACATGTAGTAATAAATATATGTAATAAATAATATTTTCACGACTTGGAAATCATTTACCTAAAATCCTATTTCTCTCTCGATATCATACATCAAACCCACACTGAATAACGTTCTCAGGTCGTATTCACGGTGTTCCATAGGCCTACATTTTTTTTCTTCTGGTTCATTCGCGTCACAGCTCTCCTGCGTCCAGTCTGGTGAGGGTGTTGCGAGAAGACATCATCTCTGGGACATCTAGGCGCCCGGTTTTCTCCCTGTGGAAGAAGTATTGGGACGAATTCTTAAACATACGTGGAGACAAGATGGTGTCCAGATTGGTGGAGTCACGCATGCTCATAAATGTCCATACTTATGCATGTATATATATTTACATTGACGTTATCAAATCTCTTTTCCATAAAGAAAATATTAACGAAAAGCTAAAGATTTCGTAGAGAAAACAGGGAAAGAAAAGGTAACCGACCACAGGCGATGCCTTTTCTTCACTAAACGGATCGTCCATTCTGCGGCGCCGGTTTGCAATGATGAAGGTGTCGAAGCCCACGGGAATAGGACCCGAACTCTGCGGTCTGAGGGAGACGAGGGCCAGGAGGTCAGCACAGGTCGATAGAACTAAGGAAGACTAAACTAAGAGGGAATAAGAGCTTTAGCAAAGTCACACATAAAAACAAATAATGTTGGTTAGAATCTTTGAAGTGAGTGAGATCAAGCGTAAGTTTGTACAGAAGGTGACAGTCGCAGAGGCCACAGCTCCTAACTTTTAATCTTTTAAATTTCTTGCACGTCTTCAAATCAACATTACATTACAAACATTACGAAACACCTGTAAAATGCTTTTTTTCTCTGATCTACACTTTATAACACTTCTGTGAGAATTCTTGCAGCTTGCCCAAGTATATAACTAATCATGTTTTGATTCATCAATTCATAAATCATTCAGCTTATCCATCCATATCAGTCCGAAACGAACTTAACGGATTTCCTCCAGAGAGCCCACCTTACCTAAACTTCATAACTGTGCGTTTGAGAGAGTAGTTGTACCCCGTCCAGGTGTACCAATTGACACCGTCGGCGAAGGATCGGTGAGGGCCTCCCAGGTACCAGCCGTTCAGGTTAGCATCGTGACAGTTCCCGTACCACCAAGCGCCCTGGAGGGAGAGGGGAACGTGGAGGGTGAACGTGCTGTCATAAGTACATGTCTGTCGTCAATATGGCAGAAATCATGTTTGGAAGGTTTTATTTGGTTTAATTTATTGGATCATCCACCTGTAATTTAACTCTTGTCTCATTAAATACCCAAGGACAACTAAAAGGACTATTACTATTCATTTATCATTAGTCTTCGTCACACCCATATTACATTATTGTAATTCAGGGGAATAACATCGAACCCATAACTAAGAGAGTTTCTGAAGGATGTGAATGCACGTTATGTAACCATGAGTCAACTTAGGGAATATTGACCTAGAGCAGAGACTATCTACACTTCCTGTGTCATTCACCCTTGGACTGGATTTATTTCGTCATTCACTCCTACCTCATCCCTCACTGGCACAAATACACATAAAGAACATAAAGAATGAAGAAAAATTATAATATGTTTCTTTGCATAAAACAATTAACACATCTATCTATCTATCTATCTATCTATATATCTATCTATCTATATACACTCCACTTAGTTTCTTTGGAAAATTCAAACAAAATAATAGAAACATTATCGATGGTAAACCTGTTATATAACTATTGGAATTTAACCTACACCGCGTGTGTTGTCTGACAAAACCCAGCATATTAATGCAGTTTTAACCCTTGCCTTGTAAATTCTTATTCCAGGAGAAACATGTCCTTGGTTGAGTCACTGATCAAGATTAAAGAAATCGGACTCAACACCTGCTTCACCCCCCCCCCCCCCTCATACGTTGCGCAAGCGGAGAGGAGATAAAGATAAGCAAAGATATCATTTTTTTTGACCGTCAGTTTTTAAACGTAATTTAATCTATAATTTTTATACTTCATTCGTGGGTTTTCTCTACTGCTGACATTGAGCTTCCCGCGACAGGTGCCCGAAAAAAACACAAACTTTACATTACCTTATATAGCCGTGAACAGCTTCGTTCCACAAAATCCCCATCGCGGTTATCATTATCAACATCGAAGGTGGAGAAAGGGAGTCCGTTGTGCGAGTAGAGGGAGTCACCTGTGGGGAACCAGCAGACGAAAATAAGGGTCTCTTCCTCCTCAGAAGGCACTATCAGGCTAGCACTTTCTCCGTCAATTTTTTTTGCGTTTCCGAATGAACTCCGTATGAAAATCTTGTAAACAAACATGGCGCTATCGGAGTGAGGTCCCGGGAATCACATGAACATTTCATACATATTACATTATTTTAAAGAAATATGATGATGTATATTGTATATACGAATGTTCTAAAATATTTGCTTATGTTTGCATTCACTAATCCTATCTAATTTATTCATAGGACAAGATCAACACGGAAATTAGTCAGACGGAAACGGTCGTAACCGTCTTGGTCTGGGAGGCGTTCCGTTTGTAGGCGATCCTTGCGGAAAGCCTCAAATTCAGACGGAACCCCAGAAATTGACGGAAAAAAAGTGCTATTGTGATAGGGCATTCAGTCTACAGGAGTCTTAGAGGAAACCGATGTCGGCTGAAGATCTGAATAACCTAATTTTCAAATACGAAAGCCATTTAGGTGACTCCGAAAGACATGGGTGTAATGATCGTACAAGCAAAATAAGTCCTTAGGCTTTTACAGTACCATATAGCCGGCGGGGAAGGATGCGTCGAAAATGGAAGCTCACCTGCGTTGCCGAAGTAGACGTTGGCGTGGTACAGGCGGTAGGCATCGCGCTCGGAGCCCACGCGGAAGCCCCGATACCTCGCGAACCTCTTGTTGCCCGACCAGTCCTCCAGCTCGATGTGGAGCTCGTAGTTGGTTTCGTTGTCGACGTTTGTGAGTGACCAGAGGAGGATGTTCCCTGCAAACACGTCGCGAGTCGGGGTCGAGTCAGGTAGTCGGGGTTGGGGAGGGAAGGAAGGGGGAGGAGGTTAG